GGAGTCGTCAATGAAAATAAAACAAACGCCAGACATGAAGTTGGCGCGGACCAATGCACATTCTCACGTTCATTTTATTGTTAGTAAATCTAATGTAAGTGTGAAAACTGGCGTACACACAGTTTTTTTGTGGGCTGCCCAATGGATAATCAGTGGACGTAATTACACTGATCGCCTGCACCTGGAGTTCGTTCACTCAAGCACTGAGAAGCCTCTCTTCGCTAACCACAACTCTGAGTCTCTTTTTCTCCCTCAGAAACCACGGACTGATTGAGACGGGCGTTCGGCGTATCATATCAGCTCGAACAGGACAAAAGGGTCAACTCTCCTACAACTTACCTGAAGCACCGCTACACTGGGACCATAGGAAGCTCACAGAAGACACCTGCACACCACACACATCTACAGCACGTTCACTATCACCAGCACCGTAAATTAAAAGCCCTTAGGGGGTGTGTTTACTTAAAACTTGTGTCTGCCTTTTCACTTCACCCTGCTACAATACACATACATTTGTATAGATATGAATATATTTATTTCTTTTACTGCCAATGGGGAATGGGGCTTCCATATTTGTTAACCTAATATGTAACTTTTTGTAGTCACCGTTGAGTGGAAAATCATTTACCTCAGTGTCTTCAGTTTACAGTGTTGACTCTTCAGTCCATCAGAGAGCTTCTTCACTCCTAAATCCTGCAGGTCATTGATACTCAGGTCCAGCTCTCTCAGCACACAGTTTGAGGATTGTAGAGCTGAAGACAAACTCTCACAGCACTGAACAGTGAGATTACACATGACCAATCTGAGAAAGAAGAACAGAGATTACATTAACAGTGTGACTTTCAGTAACTCATCTGATGTAAAAATAAATAAATAAATAAATAGGAGTAAAAATTAATAAATCAGGTGTTTAAAAACAGACCTCAGTCTCTCCAGTTTACACTCTGGTTTCTTCAGTTCATCAGAGAGCTTCTTCACTCCTGAATCCTGCAGGTCATTGTTACTCAGGTCCAGTTCTCTCAGGACACATTTTGAGGATTGTAAAACTGAAGACAAACTCTCACAAGACTGACCAGTGAGATTACACATGACCAATCTGAGAAAGAAGAACACAGATTACATTAACAGTGTGACTTTGAGTAATTTGCCTAGGTGTAAGTAATATTTATAATTAGTCAATCAGATCCTTGAACTCAGACCTCAGTGTCTCCAGTTTACAGTGTTGAATCTTCAGTCCATCAGAGAGAAGCTTCACTCCTGAATCCTGCAGGTCATTGTTACTCAGGTCCAGCTCTCTCAGCACACAGTTTGAGGATTGTAGAGCTGAAGACAAACTCTCACAGGACTGAACAGTGAGATTACAGCACTGTAGCCTGTGTAGAGGACAAGAACAATATTTATGTGGTCATCTGAGACCTGATTGTTCTACAATGCTTACTTACAAAAACTATGTGTACACCAGCTTTCACCCCTATGGTCAGATGTACCAACACCAAAATGAACATAAGTATGTGTGTTCCTCAACACCAACTTCATGAGTGGTGAAATTTTGTGTTTTTGTCTGTCATGTGTTCTTTGTCTGTCAAGGCGAAATCTGAAGACAAATTTGCATACGCGAATCTGAAACATTTCCATTCAATAAATGTGCAAATAATATATGATGCTTAAATGTGATTGGGAAGCTAAAATGCCAGTGGCACTGCCTTGATACGAGCGGAGGGGTGCTGCTAAATTACCCTAACAAAGTGTTTCTCTAATACACCTGTGTCTCCCACAGATACGGATACTACTCTAGACAGTAAAGTGTTGCCCACAATTAAGGCAACTCTCTCCTCAAAGGGTGTTAGTTTAGCATCCTCTGTTCCCCAGCCCGTTCGCTCCACACTTTGATGGTGTGCCGCTGTTTTCCTCTGAACCTGCACCTTTACATCAGACCATTTCTTTTTTAATTTACTCACAGTGAGATGTTTAGACCCCACTGCTTTACCCGCGTCAGCTAAACTCTCCCACTCTATTTTTTTTCTTTTGTTATTAATTCAGGAGGACAAACTTGCAAATAATACAGTTTTCTCCAGTCTACCACCGATAGGAGCACCTCCAGTTCACATGACTGTGGACACACTATACTACACACAGATCTGTCCAAACTGCTTACAAAAGCATTATAGGTGCCCTTTAAAGGAATAATTCACCCAAACATTTACTTAGACTCAAGTAGTTCCAAACCTTTATGAGCTTCTTTATTCTGTTGAACATAAAAGATTTTTAAGATGAAAACCATTAGCCTTTGACCTCATTAGAAGGGAAAACAAATACTATTTAAGTCAATGATAACAGGTTTCCATCTTTCTTCAAAATATTTTGTTTTATGTTCAACAGGATAAAGAAACTTTCAGAAAGGTTTATAACCTCTTGAGGGAGAGTAAATTAGTAAATTTACATTGTTGGGGTAAACTATTATTTAATATTAGCAAATGTCTATTTCTTAGATGAGAGGACTTACAGATCTGAAACAAGACTTACAGAGCTCTTTTGGAGGATTTGATGACTGCTGATAGTCTGATGAGACACTCGTCTGATCTCTGGAATTTCTGAAGCTCAAACTCCTCCAGCTCCTCCTCTGAGGTCAACAACACAAAGACCAGAGCAGACCACTGGGCAGGTGAAAGGTCAGCAGATGACAGACTTCCACTACTGAGGTGAGACTGAATCTCTTTCACCAGAGTTTGGTCATTCAGTTCATTCAGACAGTAGAACAGATTGATGGATCTCTCTGGAGACAGATTCTCTTCAAGTTTCTGCTTGATGTAGGCAATTATTTTCTTTTTGCTCTGGTCTCTGTCATCTTGCTGTGTCAACAGGCCTCGTAAGAGCTGTCGATTAGACTGGAGTGACAGACCAAGAAGGAAGCGAAGATAAAGATCCAGATGTCCATTCTCACTTTCCAGAGCCTTGTCCACTGCAGTCTTCAGCAAATCAATCATGGACACATTTCTGCTTTTTTCTGCTTGTGTCTTGTCACTGTCTAGAATCAGATGATGATAAAGGGCTGCAATGAACTCCTGAATGCTCAAGTGAAAAAAACAGTACATGGTACCAAGAATGATTCCCGTGTCCTCCTTAAAGATCTGGGTACACATGCCTGAGTACACCGATGCCTTATAGACGTCAATGCCACAGTCTTTCAGATCGCTCTCATAGAAGATCACATTGTTTCTTTCCAGCTGCTGGAAGGCCAGTTTCCCCAGTGAAAGGATGAGCTTTGGATCCCAGGAGACATGTGCTGTGTTTTCTCCATCATACTTTCTTCTGCTCTGCTGGATCTGAAAGCGGAGAAAGTGTGTGTACATCTGTGTCAGAGTCTTGGGAGATTCCTGCAGTGTCTCAGCATGAGCCCTGTGTTTCAGTTTTAGTATGTTCTGGAGAACAGTGGCTGAAATCCAGCAGAAGACTGGGATGTGGCACATAATAAAGAGACTCTTTGACTGTTTAATGTGATCAATGATTTCTCTGGCCTGATTCTGATCTGTGAGTCTCTTTCTGAAGTACTCCTCCTTTTGGGCATCATTAAATCCTCGTATGTCTGTCAGCCGGTCGATACAGTCAGCAGGAATCTTACTGGCAGCCGCTGGTCTGCTGGTGATCCAGATGAGAGCAGAAGGAAGCAGATTTCCCTTGATGAGGTTCGTCAGGAGAACATCCAGAGAGACTGCTGAAGATACATCACCACACGTCTCATTACCAGCAAAGTTCAGAGGAAGACGACATTCATCCAATCCATCAAGGATGAACAGGACTTTGAATCGTGTGCTTCTTGTAAGGTTCAGTCCTTTAGTCTCTGGGAAAAACTGAGTTATGAGGTCTTTTAAACTTTGTCTTTCTTTCTCCTTTAAGTTCATCTCTCTGAATGGAAGAGGAAATATGAAGCTGATGTCTTGATTTTCTTCTCCTTCAGCCCAATCCAGAACAAACTTTTGCACAGAGACTGATTTCCCGATGCCAGCAACTCCTTTTGTCAGGACAGTTCTGATCCGCTCGTCTTGTTCAGCTGCTACAAACAAATGTTTGCATTCAACCTGAATCTCTAGTGACTGAGTACGTCTGGAAGCAGCTTCAATCTGTCTGATCTCATGTTCAGTGTTGACCTGTTCACTCGCACCCTGAGTGATATAGAGATCTGTGTAGATGTTATTCAGAAGTGTGGAGTCTCCTTGGTGAGCAATTCCTTCAAACACACTTTGATATTTCTTCTTCAGGCTATTTTTAAGCTGCTTAATGAAGAACAGCTCGTCTAAACACAGGAGCAAAGAAACAAAGAGATTTAGTCTCGACTTATTTGTAAGTATCAGTCTGACAGATCGCCATGAGTAGGGCCAGACAGAACTTTCAGACATTTTTTGCTGTTTCTGTGGAGGATTTTGTAAAATATCTGCAGATAACTGTGGAATGATTTTGGGAATATCATACTTTGGGATTATCATAAATAAAAACTAAATAAATAAAATAATAAATGAAAAATATCACCTTTTTAACTTGTAAAATAATAATATTTAATAATATGTAATGATTACAATACAAATCAAATTAGATCCACTTAGTTGCTAAACAAAGTAAGTCTCTCATATAACAGATCTAAAGGACAGAAAATATGACTTTACCAACTGTACTGTAAATAAATCAAATGAAGATTTTCATATTAGTCAACAATATCACTGAAATTGAATAAAAACTGAATAAATAAAAATGCGCACAAGTAAATAAATAGACTTAATGATGGGCTAAAAATCTGTGTAAATCTGCAGGTTTCGTGTGGGTATGTCCATGAGTCTCTTACCCTGGAGAGTGTCAGCAGCTTGATCTTGCTTCATCTCTCTCAGGAAGAAGAGTGTGAGATCAAGAGCTGCTTCTGTGATTCTGCTTCTGTTCTCATTAAACTCCTTTACAAACTCTTGACTGTTTTCTGCTTGTAAGATTTTCTTAAATTTCTCCAGTTCATTCTTTAGAAATCTGATCATTTTACTCTCAAGATTCTATGATTAAAGAAACGAGAAGAACAACATTTAACCAAAACATCGGGTAACACTTTATAATAACTACACACTATGAATCATTTACTAAGCATTAGCATCTAGTAAATTCATTATTTGTTAAGCATTAACTCTACATTAATAAATGTTAGTAAGCAGTTTATAACTGCAGCTACAAATGTTCTACTCTTGATTTACAACCACATTTATAATGTGCTTTATAATTGTATTTTCATGCGTAGTTAATGATTTATATTTCATTACTAAATTAAGTTTCGCATTATTTACAACCCATTTGTATTTAAGAGTAGTTGGTGGTTATTTTAATTTTTCAGAATGAGTTAGTAAATGATTAATAAACTACTGAAATCAGCGTTTACAAGTCTTATTATTCAGACATATATTAATAGTTAAATTAAATGTTGGTAAATGTTTTATTAACTCAATTTCATGCAGTTATGTGAGCTAATTTAAAGTGAGGACTATTTGTGCTTTATAAATATCTTATAAATGACCATTAAAGGCTAAGAATCAAATGAATAATACATCTGCAATCTTATCTAAAAAGTAAAATTACTGTAAAGTTTAAACACTGCTGAATAACAGGAGTGACAAAACATGACATCAAATTGGGAAAAACAACAACAATATAATAATTTAACAATACATTAGGAAGCAATGTTTCAACAGCACAGTAATTTTATTTTAGATAAGTATGCAAAGATTTTTTTGAAGTACAGCTTCATTTGTGTGTTTTCAAATGAATAGAAATTAATAAAGTCGTTTATTTTCTTTTTTCCTGTTTAGAATTTAACTGACTCTTTAACAGTCATTTATAAGGGATATATAAAGCATAACTAGTCTTCACTTCATAAAACTGGATGAAGTTGAGATAATAAAGCATTTATTACCATAAAAATTAACTATTAATATATGCCTGAATAATCAGATGTAAATGTCAATTTGAATAATTTATAAATCATTCACTAACTAATTCTAAATGATCTTTAAAACAAATAACTACTGTTAAATAACTGGTTTGTAAATAATGCAATACTTAATTTAGTAATGAAAAATAAATCATTAACAAAGTATGAAAGAACAAGTATTAGGCACATTATAAATCTGGTTGTAAATCAAGTGTTGAGCATTTGTAGCAGCAGTTATAAACTGTTTACTTATGTTATTAATGTAGAGTTAATGCTTAATAGAAAATGAATTCACTATTTGCTAATGATTAATAAATGATTCATAGTGTGAAGTTATTATAAAGTGTTACCAAACATTCATTTGCAACTACTGAACAATTAAAAATACATTATAATACATCATACTACAGGATTGTGCTTTATTTTATTGGCTGATCAACAATCTAGGGTGTGCACTTATTCTCAGATGAAGTAGATTCAGATGGGCATTGAGCACATTTATAATTCCTGAATTATTTTAATTATTTCACAGCTACAGAAGCCAAAAGTCACATAAAAACACAACAGAAGGTTTTGGATTTGTAAGATAAGGATTTGTAATGCTTGGTCTTATAAACAGGAGCTGTTTGAGGACAAAAAGCTGTCAAATGTATGTAATACAACATCTGAACAGTGGCTTTAAGAGTGGAAACATCAGCATCTCAAAGAGCATGTTTTTTGTGTGTTTAAAATAACTTAAAATGTGTGTGTTTAAACTTTTAATAGACACCTAAACATTGATGTTTTGGCTAAAACAAGGCTTACATTTATCTGTCAGTGAAATTATAGTAGACATGAAAGAATAGCCCAAAACTAGACTACATAGTGAAATCTGTCTAATCTTTGTATTGATAGTCTAGATTTGGACTTCTGTTAAAGTTTCACCAAAAGCTTAAGCTTGGCCATTAGTCAAGCCATCCTCAATTGGACATCTATTAAACAACAATGACTTGGTGGGATATGCAGAATAATTGACTAATTCGTTCCTTTATTAAAAAAAAATATAGCTTTATTTTTAGGAAAATAAAGCACACAGAGGTGTAAAGGAGACTCCACGAGAATCACAGTTGTGCATTATTTTATAATAATTCAATGAACTGGAGTCAAAGATTACTTAAAAATTAATTGCACTACATTTTAATTAAGCTATATATTTTTAAATAACTATGTTAGTTTAATTTGTTTATAATAAATGAGATTTTTCACACCTGGAAGATCAACTGGAGATTGTCTTTGAAACTCTTGTGTCTCCTGTGAGTCTCGTCTCCTGAATCTGCTAACTCATATTCATCACTGTTAACAGATAAAACTACTGTAATAATACATTTAGAGGCAAACAAACACAGACAAATCTTACAAACACAGAAAATAATACATGTAGTGCTCATAATGAGACAGTGGACAGATTTGTTACTTGAGTTTTCTGTTACATTAAGCTGAGAAATCACAGACAATTGTCTCTGTCATTACAAAGATCTGTCAATCACAAAGTCATAATTAGAAAGTAGCTTTGAAAGAAATATTTAATTTACAGTTCATTATTACACAAACTTTTAGCTACAAAACGACACAGCTACATTTACCTTCAAAAGCTTCACCTTTATTTAGATATATTTTCACAACAGTTTAGTTATAAACTTTTTCAAAACATCTTTCATGCTCCACAAATGAAACAATCGACAGAAATCTGATATTAATATTCACTGAAAGATCCTCTGAATAAGAAGCCAGGTGTCAGTAAATGTCTTAATGAATCACCAAAGTTATTTGATTAATTCAAACAACTGATTTATTTAGGAATTAATCTCTCTACTGAATTGATGGTTTACACAAAACAGTCCATGTGTGAGCAATAATGTAAAACACACAATACCGTTTGGCAGATGATGGTGTTTCCCCACTGAACACTGGTGGATGATCTTTTGACCGGTCACTCTTCAGAGACAAAGAGCTGGACACACATGATCCTGATCTCACACTGAACACACCAGAGGAATAAACTGCAGGACAAACTTCAGTCTCTTTTACAGGAGTTTATCAGACAAAAAGGAGTTTGTTCAGTTTAACTAAGAGCAAACTAATTATTGGCTTAAACATAGAAACAAAACATTAATATAATCTCTAGGTAGAAAAGACAAAAAATAAATAAAATTCCCTTCACTGAACTACACACTAAGTTTAACATGTATATCTGTTTTAATCTGTGTGTATTGTTCAAATGTAGCACCCTTTTGTTATGTTTGTGGCTGTTTTTACCCCAATGACTTCATATAATTAAGCAATATCAGCATCTGATCATGCAGTCTTGATTGATGCTGGTTGGAAAGAATTCAGATTCCTGTTGATCATCAGATGTCAGCATTAACCCTTTAAATCAGCCTGAGCTGATCAGTTTCTGCATTTTATATGGAGTTCAGTGGAGTGAAAGAGCAGATTATATTGAGTGTGCAGAAATACACTTACTGTGTGTACTGTGTTTTGACAGCTGAGGGGCTTATTTTAATATTCTCAGACATATCAAGACAAGCGTGCAAAGGTCTCTCTCACTCCATATAACTCCATATAAAGAATTGTTGCACTACAACTGATGACCAACAGTAAAATGACAAGTTGTACCTCTACACAACAGGCTTTAAACCACTACTTCTTCAATATTTTTCACCAAGTACCAGCTAAGAAGAAATTGTACCCCTATTTGAGCATTTGATCAGGCAATAGCAACACAAATAAGTGCATTGTTGTTGGTCTTTGTTCTTCAGAGAAAGTGTTGAAATAATGGTGTAAAAACAGAGTCAATACCTGTGTTTCTCTGAGAGAGAGTCCTTTACTCGCTCCTCTGCCATACTGCAGCTAAAACACCAATGCAGACATTAGCAGAGCTTTCAGGGAACAATCATACATATATATAGTCCTTAACATGAATGCAGTTGGTTTAACCCTGATCTGACATCTCAGGTGTTTCACATTTGATTCAAGGTAAATGCATGCTATATAGAGTTTATCAAGAGAAGTTCAGGTTCAGCCAATTGTTGATTTAGTGAGTATTAAAATGTCTCTCTACTAAAGAGGCTATTCGGTTAATGAGTTACTCTGACAGTCAAAGGTTAAATGCAGTGTTGTTTAAGGATCGTCAGCTTGTTTTTCAGCAGCTTTTCTTCCTGTTCAACTGAAGGTTGTGACTCTGAATGTTTAGAGTTATATTTAATGCTGAATTATTGGACACTATTGAGTCAGTCTGATATAGAAGAGAACAAACACTTTAAAGAGATTACAAATAAAGCTTTTAGACAGTGTTTAAATGAGCGTGTTTGACTCAGTGTTTAATCTGTGTTTGAGGATTTGATCTTCAGGATCAGACATTTAAATCACACTCACACATATAAAACCCCTTCATCATCTCCACAAATCAGCGTAATGTAGAAGTGTTAAACTCACATGCAGAAGTACAGACGCTCTTGTGCAGCAGGAACACAATCTGAGCTCTTTCACTTCACTAAAACACACCTGTGTGATCTACAGGTATATCCTTAAATATTATTGGCTCCACTGAGTGACACTGACATGAATATTCATGAGATTCTCCGGACTGTGGGCGTGTCCTTGAGACAACACACAAACCACTGGATGTGAAGATATCTGTGCAGATTCTCTGAGCTCGACTGGGTTAAAGGAATATAAAAAAGTATGATATAGTGTATATATAGTGTAATATAATACACACATATATGAGAATAGAGAAAAATGTATTTGAAATAAATCCAAGAGGTCTCTAAAAAATATTTAAAGCAGCATTGGACTAATAAAATAAGATTACAGATGAAAGTATAAATGAGTACACCCCTTACAGATCTCTCTGATGAATTATTACTTACTATCAGAGGCTGTTCAATAATATAAGTGTTTATACATATTATATTACTGTTCAACATATATTATTCATACAAATCAATACAAAATAGATCAGAATATACATTACATTTAACAATCAACATTTTAAGATAAAACAGTAATAAAAATAATAATCAGTGTATTTACAATGATTCACTTATAATCAAGGTGTGTGTGTGTGTGTGTGTGTGTGTTGGTTTATGTGATTTACGAAGACATTTCATATGAATACACGCCACATTATGAGGACATTTTCAATTATGAGGACATGGTCGGAGTCCTCATAATTTTAGCAATGTAGAAGTGCTTCTTTTATGTAGAAGAGCTCAAATCCAAAATTTCTCCACATGACTTTATAGTTCACATAAACCTGATTTAGTGTATTACGTGTGTATTCGACATGCGCCCCTGTAGCCCGGACTGGGTACTGCATCCTCTCAATAATTATGCATGCGAGTGTATGAAATCGCGGCATGTGATTGGCTGACCACCAAACGTCCTCATAATAACTGTATCTGTCAAACATACATCTGTGTAAACAATAATGATTAAAAAATAGTTTTAAATATGTATAAATATGAATTACGTTCTAATTAAATTATAAAAATCCCCCACTACCTTTATAAGATCAATAAAGAAATAAATGCCTGTTATTGGCCAATCGCCACCACCTGACTCAATCAATTCTGCGCTGGACAGATGGATATCACTCATCGTTTGAAGACAGGACAAAGAAGCACGGAGCTTGTTTATTCGACGATTGATTGCATACACTCTAAACAGGAATGTGTTGAAAACAACACAACATGTGTTATTTTCAACACATTTCCTGAGTGTGCTCAGGGACAACACATGTTGAGTTAAGTTTAACACACAAAATGTGTCATAAAATGTAACACATTAATGTGCAGCATAAGTTGACACACAGATGTGTTATTTTTGTATGTGTTTAACACAACTGTGTGTTACTATTCATTTTTTGTAATTTTAAATGTAAAAAATATTATAAATGTAAAATGAATAAACAAAATCTCACAGGAAACATTAAACACTGTTCACATACTGTTTAATTTTCCCAAATGCATTCAAATGTTTTACAGCAATTCATTGTACATAATATAAAAACTCACTTTATAAAAGTATTCATTAAATTGAACTCGTATCTGTTACGCATGCCAATAAAATGTCAAATATGTATGAAACATATCCATTTTCAAAATTATTCTCTAGTGAAAGAAATTAATAACCATAGCACACTGATTATACATTCACCCACATGTAAGGTGCTTGTCTTAACAAAATAAATCATTGTCAAATATAGTCAAAACACTTCAAACATTTAGGTAACCCTTTATAGTAACGACACAATATAAATTATTTATTAAGCATTAGCAAGTACAGTAGTTGATTCACTATTTGTTAAGCATTAAATCTACATTATAAGACATTAGTAATGGGTTTCTAAATACAGCTACAAAGGCTGTTTTCTTGACTTATAAGCACATTTATAATGTGCCTAACAATTGTACTTTTATAATTCATACTTTCAAATACAAATGGTTTGTAAATAATGCAGTCCTTGATTTAGTAGTGAAAAAATAATCAGAAGCAAAGTGTGAAGGTACAATTATAAAGCACATTAAACATTTACTTATAAGTCAAGAATACAGCATTTGTAAACCGCTAATGTCTTATAATGTAGAGTTAACGCTTTAAAAATTAATGAATTCACCATTTGCTAATGCTTAATAAATGATTTATAGTGTGTCAGCACAGCACAGGAGCGTCAGCACAGGAGCGTGCTATCTAAAAAATAAGCGAATTTTACATAGTTTTTCTCTAGATGACATGTATAATCTATTTATAAATAATATTGTTTTGTTTGCGTCTAAACATTGCGACCATCCACACTAAATATTCTTTTTTTTTTTTTTTTTTTTTTGCTATCGTACCATTAATATTTTCTCAAATTATCATTAAACGTGGAGCTAACAGATTACTAGATAAAATAAGAACTTAATCGGTTGCCATCAGCCGAGTCCTTGCCAGAAGCGGCCAGGATATGGTTGACCGGAATCGGGCCAGTACTTTACAGCCGCATCACAACCGCATGTGCGCGAGCGAGCTGCGGGCCGCACTCGGCCCGGATAACACTCGCCGATGCCGAGTCGGAGCCGGAGGCGCCGAGGGGCAGCCGAGCTCGGGCCGATTACTGCCTGCTATCTGGGAAGTGTGTCAATATTATCAACAACATGCAGCAGCCAAACTAAAAAAATAAGCTTCAATCAATAGTCCTATAAAACAACAGCAACAAATCAAATGAAGATGGCTAAAGTCAACTTATTTTCCCAATACATCATTATTTCTCTGTAAAACTATGGTTTGTAAAGCTTCTGAACTTCCCATCCCCCACTGTAATGTGTCTTGAGTCTTCACTGCTCCCCACTGCTCATTTGCATCTTTATACCAGCATTAATGGGGGCCAATTGAGTCTTATCCAATCACATTCCAGATCCTGTAGCTCAGCAGGGTTGTATCTTTATATTCTGGGTTCCTAACAGAAACGTCATTGGCTTATTTTGCTAAGTAAAGAGATCAACTTTGTATGACAAACTACGATTGTTGATTCCTACATTGGGATTATTACCAACAACAACCTACAAAGAAAAACCCACTGAGGCCATTTCTCATCCCACATATTCATTGAAGACTGGAAAGGTGAGTTGCACATTCTGAATTTACTCTTAAATAATATCTGAATGCTAACATTATAAAATGTAAAATCTAAACATGCGTGGATGCACTGTTCAACGTTGAATTAAAGTTCTTCAGTCATTTTTAAAAGCTTCATTACAACTTTTTATTTACTTTTTTGTTTGTTTGTTTATTTGGTTATGAATATTGTTTTTATCCTGACAAATGGACTGTAGCCCAGTTTCAACCTAAGTTAACCTAGTTAAGTTTCAACCTATTACATATATAGGTTGGAACAGGCAGTTTTGGAGAATTTAATGTTTCCCTATTCAAACATACAAAGAGGTGGCAACATCAGTTGAATGCAAGTGAATGAGTTAAAGCTATGGATAAAGAAATACAACCGTTTAAACAAAACCCAGACAGCACACATACCCTTTAATTCTAACATCGGTATATGGTCGGCCAAACATACGCATGATCGTTCGGTCGTGTGTTCTATTGTTCCAGCTCAACAAACGTCGGCTCTGCGTCGGTTAACGACCAGAGGCCGACGAAGCACTTCATAAGCACTTTATCTCTCATGCCCATGAAAGAATCCGGCAACATATTTGGTTTACAAGTAAGTTTTTGCGTGCATAATAAATTAGACAAACGCGACATGCATCATGTGAACTGCGTCGGTCGGTCCAGCTTTAAATAGCCTACATTAATGCAGTAAAACTGACCAAAATGCCTACAACACATGATTTCAATTCATTAAAATATAAAAAGTTTTATTGTTATGCTTTAATAATGAAAACGTTGTTTTTTTCTGGTGTTAACTGCCGTTTGCTTTTTTTTATTGTGGCTTTTTCTAATACATTTTTCCCAGTGTAAAAATCAAGTATGTTCTGCATTTCGGCTGTTTAATTAAAATAAACACCTTTTTACAGAGTGACATCTTTGTTTTATATATACTTGCATTTATATTTATTGGTTATTTATTTTTGACAGTGAATGCACAAATAAAGTGTTTGTTTTGTAACAGTTTAGTAGGCTATAAAGCTCGTCTTAAAGATAATAGCGTATATAAAACTGCTAAATACATTTTAAATTCAAGATTTAAAATACAAGGTTATTATTTAAATTGTCTATGGAGTGATCATGTTTATAAATGTAATACTGCAAGACTTTAATGTGCGCGCGCGCGTCTTGCTTCCAACACTGGAGCGGAGAGGATGTTGCTATGGGAAACGAAGCTACAACACGACACCACCTAAAAGACACAACACGACTTCTCTCGAGCTGCCGTTTTGACTGTTTTCAGGTAAGTTTAGTCCCTAAAACAAAGCAAATACTACATAAAACTGTTCCTCACACATTTATTATTGGCAATTGATGAATATTCAGTTGAATATTATGTTATATAAGAGTGGTAAGTCTTCGTAAAAGTCCGTTAGCATATTAGCACTGGTAACGTTAGCGTCGGGGTAATATTACGTTAACTTACTTAATGTTAGTTCTTGTTAAACTTGTTTGTTAAAGTTTTGGCTTTTATTTATTCTTTATGTGTAGATGAGAGGTTTTGTCAATGTTTTATTGAATGCACTCCATATGTAGTCTAAAATACGCATTGTAACGTTACTGTAAAGGACCGTGAATCAAAAGTTCAATCGTGTTTTGATATTTCATGGTATCTTAAACTAAATGTTAAGTAAAAAAGTGTTCTGTGGTTTCAGGAGTGAGAGAATAACCTCCTGCTACAGAAAATATAACTCAAGATTCCTAAATTTCTGAAGGGAGCTGACCACAGAGATACAGGAAAGACAGATAACTTTAAGCATATGATTAATTCATATGAATTTCCATTGCACATCATTATGCACATGTTACATGTCTATATATTATGCATCTGTTACTTGTCTTTATTGCAGTTGTTTTAAGAAAGTTTTGACATTGAAACATGTGAGTGGTATTAAATTTCACATCACATGATTCTTCAGAACTTAGTAAATATATAGATTTGCTGCTAATGAAGTAATATTTGTGATTTTCATTTTGTTTAATTTTTTATGATTAATTGATTTATTAAATCTTAGAAAAAAGTTTACACTAAATTATTTGTCATCACATCTGTTTTTAGCATTGATAGCAATCCGAAATGTTTCTTGAGCAGCAAATCAGCACCATTTGATAATCACCATTATATTAGTTCAACCTCAAGCACTAAATCAACATCTTAAAAAAAGATTTCTGAAAGATCAAGTGACACTGAAGACTTGAGTAATGATGCTGAAAATTTAGCTTTACATCATAGCTATGAATTACATGTATATTTACACTGTTCACCCATCCCTTACACCTTAACTCATCCTCAAACAAGTCAATTTAAGCCCTAAATGAATAATTTTTGATTTGTACAGGCATGATATGCAACTTGTATTCAGTCGTTTTGTTTTTTCTTTCTTTTGCTTTTGTTTTCCACATCAACTGAAAAGGAGGTCTAAGTTTAACCTAAGTGCCGTGTAGCTGATGAACATCTTTATATGTAAGTATATTTTTGACTGACTGCCAGACACTTGTCAAACAGTGATGAGCAAACGAGGGGCCGTTCTTTTAAAAAGATCAGGGAGATGCAAGTCTGGAGATTAATATACATTTTAATTCAAAATTGATTTATCTGGAAATATTTCATAATGTTTTGTGATATGTGCCCTATATGCATTTAGATGTCCATGCATGTTTAAAATACTTTTAAATTTAACAATGGCTGCAAGTTATAAAAACATAAACAAACACAAAAATGTTAAAGTAAATTGAGAAAACATTTTCATCAGTTTGACAACAGGTAGATCAGCTCCTGACAGACATGTTAACAGATCAGTTTAACTCTTATTAAATTCATTCATTCATTCATTCATTTTCTTTTCTGCTTAGTCCCTTTATTAATCTGGGGTAACCACAGCGGAATGAACTGTCAACTTATCCAGCATATGTTTTGCGCAGTGGATGCCCTTCCAGCTGCAAGCCATCACTGGGAAACAACCATATACGCTTGTTCTCACTTATACACTACAGACAATTTAGCCTACCCAATTCACCTGTACCCCATGTCTTTGGACTTGTAGGCAAAACCGGAGCACCCAGAGAAAACCCATGCAAACGCAGAGAGAATTTGCAAACTACACACAGAAATGCCTGCTGATCCAGCTGCGGCTCGAGTCAGCATCCTTGCTGTAAGGCGACAGCACTACCTATTGTGCCACCACGTCACGCTCTTATTAAATTATATTTATATAATTTTGTGTTTCAGTACATGCTATTTTGGGAAGACAAAATATATTCATAAGCTCTCAGAAAATTCAATAAGAGAATTCATTCATTCATTTTAAGAGAATTAACTGCACAATTACTTGAAATGTGTGGGATTACATTATTTGTTAACCCAAAGTGAGTTTCTCTTTTTTTTTGCAGTATTGGATGCCTGATTGCAGTTCAACTCCAAACTCAGTTGGACCAGCTGATCAGTGTCTTCAGTATTACCTCAAGCTACTGGGCAGATGTGTGGACACCTATGAGCCAAACTTGGGACGTTTGGTTTTTAGGTAATACCAGTGACAAAGTATTCAGTAAATTGCTTATAATAAAAGATGCTCACTGCTTACCCCCTTATAGTTAAGTTGTTTGCAGTTTCATTGTTGTAAAAATACCATACTTTTTCCTTTTTTTATAAGCAGGTGTGACCGTCTGGGCAGCAGAAACAAGACAACGAATCATAGTTGAGTTGAGATTAGTATTATTAACTTGACTAGTTTGGTTGCAGACTTGTTCAATAATTAACAATTTGTATAATGTTTTTGTAACTTAAATTCATTACAGTTTAGATACAATCAAATGTCCAAACCATCTCTGAGTGAATGACATGAAGGAAACAGGATCAAAAAGATCATTCATTATAGACCGTTTCATAGGTAACTGCAAATCCTTTGTGAAAAATAATTTATTTTTGTGCCATCATCACAAGACAAAATACATTTCAACTGATTTCAGTTGGTTATATTTTTCAGGTCCTCCTGATCATTCTGTTCTCCTGGTTGTGAGGATGTGCAGAGGCTGTATTTGTCAGTGTTAAAAGACTTGTGCAGCTGTATCCAGACATACAAGCAGCCGACAAAGAGTTCTGGAGCAGGACAGACAGGTAGTTCACAGTGGCTAGGCTAGAAGTTTATACTTGGGTGGCCAGAAAGTGGCCTCCGCTATTTTGGGGGGTCCATACAAATACACCAGTGTAAGCTATACTATTGCACTGAAAAAATTAAATGAAAGAATAAATTAATCGGTTGAACACAAAATATTTTAAAGAAAGCTTAAGTATCAAGGTGGCAATATACAGTATGTTACATTGTAGTGCATGAGCTGGCTAATACAGACTCGTAAATGTTTAGTTGTTAAAATTAGTTAAATACTAAATCCTATACTTGAGACCGGCTGCATATACAGCTTTAACTGAACTGAATTTAACTAGAACTACACCAGCATTCCAAGTGCTCTAGACTAGCTTTTTGCACTGGTGTGTCTAAAATGTTTGATGGCATTGCATTTAACAGCAATTTTACATGTTAATTTTTTTAAAAATTACAAACCATATAGGCAATATTGACTTGTAAATGATTAACTAAAATCGGGTCAACACACATTATGGGGATTGTGTGTAGAATTTTGAGGAAATTAATGAATTTAATCCATTTTGAAATAAGACTGAAACATTAAAAATGTGGAAAAAGTAAAGCGCTATCAATACTTTCCGGATGCATTGTATATGGTTTATAGCACGTTATCAAAGACTTTAAAAAAAGTCCAACATTATCTACAGCAGCAAAAGACCCTCCACATCAAAAGCTACTGGTCAGCTCACGATTCAGCAAACATCTGAAAAACAAATAGCTTATTATGCCTTCACAAGAAATCTGTTTTTGAGTCAGTGTTTTCAGTGTTTTAATGAAGATAGTACTATTTTATTAAATTATTATTTAGCCTGGCATGTTTACTGATACAAAATATTTTAAATGTTTCTTAAAATAAAACATATTGTGTTCAATGGGGAAAAAGTAGCTGTTTTTTACACAGAGATAAAAAAAAAAACACATTTCAGCGCAGTAATCACAATACTGTGAAACTGTGATATTTTTATATTATCTTATACCTGCCCATTCCTAGCCAGTTACTTAAAGCATTCAGTCAGTTTTTTTTTATTTTTTTTTCAGTTGGCCTATATTCTGTTTTTCTATGTTCTTGGAAATGCTGTTGTGCATGAAAATGTGACGATATATCCAGGTTCTATAGTTATTTCTGAAATAAATCTTAAAATGAAACAATATTTAAAAATGCAATATTTAATGTGTCAGACACTAAATAAACATGTCAATTCATTTATATTAATCTGATTCCTTAACAGGGCAGCACGGTGGCGCAGAGGGTAGCACGTTTGCCTCACAGCAAGAAGGTCGCTGCTTCGAGCTTCGGCTGGGTCCGTGTTGGCGTGGGTTTCCTCCGGGTGCTTCGGTTTTCCAAAGTCCAAAGACATAAGTGAATTGGGTATGCTAAAATTGACCATAGTGTATAAGTGTGTGTGAATGAGTGTGGATTGGTTGCAGCTGGAAGGGCATCCACTGCGTAAAACATATGCTGGATAAGTTGGCCTTTCATTCCGCTGTGGCGACCTCAGATTAATAAAGGGACTAAGCCCAAAAGAAAATGAATGAATGAATCTTCAACAGTTAATATTGGTATAATGAGCAGCAGTTGTCATTTATGTAAATTAACCATTTGAGCGTGCTTAGTGTGGGGTATGTTGTGCCATTAAATTGTCAATTGTCAATTTCTACATTTTAAATCTGCTTTAGCTTTCTTCTTTCCTATAAACCTGGAAATATAAAATATATATATTTTTGGTTTTTAACAAATTGCTTATTTTATTCTTAGATTGGTGTACGCTGATGGTCTGCTGAGAATTCTGCTGAGTTGAAGGGATCCTCCTGTCAGAAAACCTCTCCAAAGTACAATAGGACTAGTAAGTAACATTTTAAACATACACTACTGTTTCATAGCTTTTAGGTTGGTATGGTAAATTCTCTTCTGATAGTGTCAGCTTTATTTAGTTAATACAGTTAAGCAGTAATACTGTGAATTTAATACAATGTATATAATTAATAGTGTCACATGATCCTTCTGAAAAAAATAGTATTCCAATGTACTGATTCTCTCCTCAAGCTGTTTTTTTAAATATAAAACAATTTAAATAAACATATTTTTAGTATTCTTGATGTATGACAAGTTTATTTTTAAGAGCATAGTATTTATTTGAAAAAAAAGTTTGCTCTTTGATGATTGCTAACAATCAGACATGTTTCTTTAGAACAAAAAGAATTTGTGCAAAAAAGTATTCTCACTGAGCGTTGTCCAACTGTGGTCCAACACGTCATTTAAGTTTTCAAATAAGCCTAAAAGACTTGATTAGCTGCATCAGGTGCATTTAATTAGAGAGTTGAATATATAATTTTTTTATATATCCTCCTCTATAGCCTGCATATAATAGAAGTTGTTTGCTGAAAAACCTTTTTGTAGCAGAAATAAAGCTATGATTAGGCTCACCCGGATTTTTCGCAGAACTCCGCAGATGTTTAGCCTATCATTAATTCTGTTTATTTACTTGAGTAAATGTGTGTAAATCTATATTAATTCAGTTTTTTAATTAATTTCAGTAATATTATTGACTAATGTGAAAATGTTCATCTGATTTATGTACAATGCAGTTTGTACAGTAATATTTTCTGTCTTACTAGATATGTTATATGGAAAACTTGCTTTATTTACCAAATAAAGTGAATCTAATTGGATTTGCATTTTAAACATTAAATAAAACTTAAAAATATATTATATATTTTTTATTTCATATATTAAGGTTTTAGTTATGATACTCCCAAAATAATTCCGCAGAAATCCGCAGACTTCCACCATAATTTTCAGCAGAAATAGCAAAAAACATCTGCAGATTCCTCCTGGCCCTAGCTATGATATATTAAATGTGGTGTACAGTGTGACATTTTAGTTGACGAAACTTAGTTTAATTTGCATGTAATGTGGTATCTGAAGATTAGACATATATTTAGATACACATTTATACTAACACAATGATACTAAAAACCAAAAAAAACATTCATTATGATTTCACAAGGAATTTAACTTTCAAATGGCTTTTCTGAAAATTAGTGCTCAGACACACTCTTTAAGTTTAAATTAAATTACACATTTTAGCTAGGCACTTGCATAACACATACTCCAGTTATATGTCATGAAACAAATAATATATATTTGTGGTAATATGAACTGCTGCAATGCTAATGTTTCTTCTTTTGGTTTCTTGCTTTATTTAAGGGTTCCCACTACAAGGATTAGATTTGGCTACTGCAGTCCCGGTTTGGGCCAGCCTCACTTGTGAAGACTAAAGATGAAGACAACATACAAGAACAATTTAGAGGATGGCGACACACTTTTTATTCCACCTATATATCCCCTTTTATGTGTAAGCAACATTCCACAAGAATAAAACAAAACTAAATGACAGGTTATTTCTTTTAATTTTGTCTGATTTCTTGGAATATTGTACACAATTTACAACCAGTTTTATATATATATATATATATATATATATATATATATATATATATATATATATATATATATATATATATATATATATAGGTCAGAGCAAGAAAATGTTACGTTTTCTTCTGGAGAAAGTCTTATTTCTTTTATTTCGGCTAGAATAAAAACAGTTTTGAATTTTTAAAAAACATTTTAAGGTCAATATTATTTGCCCCTTCAAGCAATTTTTTTTGACTGTCTACAGAACAAACCATCGATATACAATAACTTGGCTAATTACCCAAACCTGCCTAGTTAAGCTAATTAACCTAGTTAAGCCTTTAAATGTCACTTTAAGCTGTATAGAAGTGTCTTGAAGAATATCTAGTCAAATATTATTTACTCAGTTATTAGAAATGAGTTATTAAAACTATTGTGATTAGAAATGTGTTAAAAAATATTTCCGTTAAACAGAAATTAAGGGATTTTATATATATATATGACAAAATCTGTTTTGTGTTGTGCATTAGAGTTTGCTAAAAAAAACTGGTTATCTCTGAGAAAGTATTGTTATTTTATATTATTGATGTGTTATTAGTTCAGAGGAGATTGCAAATTGTTGAATGCCATTTATAAAAAAATTGTAAAAAAAAAATTGACTACAGACTTTAATAAGATTTTATCAAATTATTTTAATTTGTATGATTTTTTTTACTACTGTAAATATTGTTTGCTTGGTATTTATTTTGTGTTTGTGTCCTCTTTTATTATTGTAACTCCCTGAAGAAAGTCTTTTGGATACTGAACACATGACTGGTATTATCTTGTATTTTAAAATTATAGTCTTGGAAACATGCATTTTCTTTAACACTATTTAAGAAATTATAAGCATTATAACATGTGCTTACACAAGTTATTTGTGGTTTTACTATAGTAAACTATAGTCACTCTTAGTGTACATGTTTTGAAGTACTTGTAAATATTCCTATGGTCTTAATGTAAATGCTGCAATGGACTTTGTATTTTAAATCTTAAATGCACAGTAGTTCAGCCATGGTTATAGTACAACTTGTTGGTTTTGTTTTAAACGTGGTAAAACATGGTTATGTGTGATAAAAGTATGTTAATCTATTTGTATGTTTGTGAAAATATTAATAAATCTTCAACTGTTATTGAGAGTGGTGTGTCGTGTTTATTATAAATAAACAGCTGCTGCAGCTAGTGGTCCATAAGTATAAGCAAAACGCCTGAAAACAGCGCCTCCGCGGAGCGGCCGGTATTTCCGGTTGCGTCGTCCTAACATCGGCCGGACAGCGTTTCCGATCCTTTGCCGACGTCGCGGCGACATTTTGCCAATTAGCAAACGCTCCCTGAGCGACATCGCGCCGATGGAATTTTGAAAATCGGCACGACGTCGGCCCAACGAATGTGTGCTGTCTGGGTATTGTTTGAATAAAGATATGATAACCTTTTTGTCCCTGAGAGGAAATTTGTCTAGTGCAAAAAAGTGCTACACATTGCTTTAAGCATACAATAAGCTAAATAAAACAAACAAAACGATTAAGAACATACATAAAGAATAAAGTTTAAAAAAAGTTACAGAGATGTGTGTAATAAGTTTCCTTATTGAAGGTTTAATTTATTAAACAGTATAATGTCATTCCATTCTAAGTATACATCACTATATATACGAAATGAAGTAATGTTACTAGTTTTAATCAGGTCATTTGTGGCTATTGTTTCTTGCTCAGACTTTCCTGATTTATTTTTTGTTAATTACTCTTATATAAAGAAACTGTTGAAGTAAGTGTTAAGGAGAAGTTATTTCATTTCTGTTAATTTTTTTTTTGTTTATTTTAAACAGGATAAACTGTCCAAACGCAGAGGAAAAACTCCTGCTGAAGCGACTGATCTCCACACTGTTATAAAGATGGCGTTTATTAAAGTGGAGAGTGAAGATGTGAAGATTGAAGAAACATTCACAGTCAAACAGGAAGATCTGCAGGAACAAACAGGTTGGTTTTCATTCTCAAAGACCAACTCGGTCATTTAATCCTCATTCAGATATATTTTAATAGTAAGAATATTCAATTAAATCCATCTTGCAGCCCTGAGTGTGCTGCCTACACAGCAAATTCATTGGTGTTAAATTTCAAGTGTTGAGGTAATTCAGAGTAAAGTGTTAAAATTCTAGAGTTAGATTGGCATTAGAAGCTGATTTGCCTCCTTGTCACACAGAGTAACATGTATCTACCTTTGTAGAAAACCCTTGTATTTGAGAAACTAATCAGAGTGTCTGAAATCTCAACATACACCCTCATTCACCTGGCCCTTAAATTGGTCAATTAGTTTAGTCCACTAGACAGAAGGGATGACCACAAATAAGTGAATTCAGACACCTGCTGTTGAACACCTGCTGTTAACAAGCACAATCACTGAAGGAATAAGAAATTGAAGGAAGAAATAAAACTACAGACACAGCCTCACACCAAACCAACTGAATTAAAACAGAGGATTAAACAACTCCATTAAATAATAGCATAAGCAGCTTCACTGATTACAGTTTGACTTCATTTCTGTAAGAATATTTGACAATGAACAGAGGTTTATATTTTTTTATTAAAATATTTCATTTGACCTCACCATCATAGAGATCAGAGGCTGCTTATTTGAGCTCTTGAAGCTTCATGCTTATATCCTAATGTTTCTATGACTGCTATAACTGTGTTTCTAAAACTCATTAGCTATAGCAAGAAAGGTCAAGAGAAACTATACTGTTTATGCTTAATTGTTATAGATTTAATTTCTGGTTTTTATTAAGTTGATTCATAAAGATATGCAAATATAGTTGTATTAAAACTGCATGGGACAATACTTCTGGCAGTCTGCTGCTCTTCATAGAAAATTCAACAAACAATTAGGATGCAATTAATAATTAACCTGTCATGCACTAAACATTCAAGCTCCAGCTTGCTCTTTATGACACACAGGCATCAAGAATCAGGATATGAACCTCAACCGTGGTTGCTAAAAAAAAAGCCGCATAGTTCATGCCGCAATGCATGCTGGGTGCCAGCATAGTACAAAGCTCCCAGCATGCATTGCAGCATGAATAAATTATGCAGCTTTTTGTTCTTACAATCTCTTTCTTTTCCTGTATTTTGTGTTGTTTTTGGGGGGTAATGTTTCAGTAGAGTGTTTTTTTTTAACTTGATTTTTATTTTTTTGTTTGTCACCATCATTGAGAATCAAAGACTAATTATTGATGTCTGGGTGTTTTTGAGTTCTGCCATAGATCAAACATTCTCATTGTAAATATTGTTTTTATTTTATTGGAGCTTTAGTGGTTTCATTTATGTATATTATTTATTTCTCACACATAACTAATATGATATTGAATTAGTAAACAAGCAGGAAAGGATGGCTATGTTATCACAAATAATCTCTTCAGACTGACACTCTAATTTTCTTTTGGCTTTCCATGCTATATGTATAAATAGTGTAATTAACACTATCTATAGCAGCCAAAATAAAAGACATTTATAGCAAGAAGTTGAAGACCCCAACTAAAGCAGACTCTGTCCTCCATCATGGTGACTTCAAATGAACAACGGAAATTTTATTAAGAGCTTTTGTTCACATGACAGAAATAAAATCAAAGGTCAGTAATAGGTGAAGTTCCATGATAAGTTGTTTAATTTGATGAGTTTTTTTTAAAGATGTTGAAAAATAACATTTTTTATTGTGTAATTTGTTTTATTTTTATTGATTATTATTTTATTTAGAGTTTTTTTTCTCAGTTGATTTCATCTTTGGTTTTGGCTTGTGTTTTTCTGTCCTTCAGTGATTCTGCTTGTTAACAGTTGTTCATCAACAATTTTCAATCCTCCTTTAATTAGACACATAATTGTCTCATTAACTTCATCACTGTCTGTGTGTCCAGCCCTCTGTAGTGAGGACACTAGTTAGGATTTTGCTGTGGAATTTAAGGCTTACGTGTGTTAGAATGAAAAATACAGACTATGGGATGTATTTTTAACAGAAATATTCTGGAAACTGAATTTACGAATGTAAAATGTTGAAAACAGCAGATTACTGGCAACCACTGCTGCCAGTATTTTGACATACATTTAACAGATATTTTACACAATAAGAGTTTGCTAATTAACACTCTGGGTGTTAAAAATTTTAACACTTTCAAAAATGTTATTTTAACACTTATAGTGGTTCCCATATAAACACTGAGGGAGTGTTAATTTTAACTCTAAGGTAGTTAAATCTACCAAATCTAAAATTTGCAATGTGAGATCAATAAAAAATACTGTTGAATGTGCTTTTAACAGAAATATTCTGTAAACTGAATTTATGACTGTTAAAAACAGCAGATTACTGGCAACCACAGCTGCTGGTATTTTTACGTAAAATCTAAAAATGAAATAAAAAGAAAGAAAAACAGCAAAACGGTTTTTGTGTCACCATTGTGGAGGATAATAGCGTCTCTGTTCAAGTCCAAGATGAACTGAGAGTATTTGATGTTATGCTGCATCTTCTTTTGTTTAAAGGTAACTCTGTAGTTACTAATGCAGTCAAAATCTGTTTGCTAATTGCAATCACACATGAAAACATTATTGCATCTATAGACTTTACATTTTTGTGCACTAAGCTATAATTTTGTAAAATAAATAATTTGTTAGTTCATGAAATATGGTTAATTTTTGTAAATTTATACAGTTATAAAGAACTTCCATGTTTTTCACAGAAAGATTCTGGCAACTACAGCTGCTGGTATTTTTTCGGAAATTTAACAGATATTTTACACAATAAGAGTTTGTTAATTAACACTCTCTTGGTGTAGACAATGTTAACACTTTCAAAAGTGTTATTTTTAACACTTATAGTGGTTCCCATATAAACTCTGAGGGAGTGTTAATTTTAACTCCAAGGTAGTTAAATCTACTATCTAAAATTTGCAGTGTAGTTCTCCTAAATGCACATAAGCACTCATGAGCTATGTTTCCATCCAAAAATGCAAATTAACTTTATGCTCAAAACTGGATTTTTCCATTCAAATGAAATCAAATCACTTTTATTGTCACATCATCAGCAGCACGTGTGCTATGATGAGTGAAAAGCTTAGGTGCTGGCCCCAGACAGTACAAAATACAGACAGTTTAAATACAACAACAGTGCAAAATACAGACAGTGCAAATACAACGACAAAGAGTCAAAGCGAACAAAATCATCACTTCCTGATTAACTGGCGCCAAATATCAACAATGAAAATGGAATTTGCTGCGAAAAGAGAAGCTGCATCAATAGCTGCGTTTCCACTATCATGCCTAAAGTGAGCAAGCCAAGGCCAGTCACGTTTCCACTATCACTTCCGGGGCCAAAGCGGGGCTTTCTCGGGGCCAGCGGCCGGCCAATTTCAGCCCGCCGAATACCTTGGGCCAAAGAGGGCTAGCTGGGGCGGAGTGAAAGGAAAGGCAGACACTAGTTTTCCGATCGCACACGAGTACATGCACCAAACAAATAACCAAATAAAAAAATAAGGGAAAGAAAGCAACTAGCCTTTTAGTCTGGGGTCTTTTTGCGTATGATCGCCCTTATGTTTCCCTTTTAAATGTAAGGCTGTTGCATAAAATATAAAGTTTTCATTTATAAGTGACTTTGCTGCATCCTCCTTGATGTTTCAATAACGCATAATAATCTTTACACCTTATTAAAGACACAACAGACAGTAAAGGTTTTTGAGAGTTTTTGTCAAGTTTAAAAGGTGTTTGTGCATGTTTAGATGCCTGGATGTGAATGTGAGACCGAGAAAAAGAGCGCTTTCTTCACAGCTCTGTTGATGCTGCGAGCGGCTTCTGTTTTTATTTATTTTAAAGATAATACACAACATAAATACAACAGAAAGACATTAAACTTTACAAATTTCGTGTCCATTTTTGTAGACTCAAAAACAATAGTCATATCCTAATAAAATAGCCTAAGATATATTGAAATAATTTAAATAATTACAAATGTCGCATATAATAAAATCACATAAAATGAATAAACCAATATAAAACAAATAAAATCTAGCTATAATAACAGAACAGTACATAAATCAAACCATTTAAACCCATATTAAACTTTCATTTTACAAAGGCCTGTCTGAAAAAAAGATTTTAGATATTTTCTAAAACAATAAACACCGGAGGAGGTTTGAAATATTATTTATAAAGTATATGGATACGATAATATTAATCAAATCATGTAAACAGAGCATGTTATGGGTGAGTGAAAGCAGAAACTAGGCTACCTTTTTATCTGTCATGCATGCATTATCTGCCTGATTCCCGCTGAAGTGGGCGGGTTGTGTGACGTTTGATTCGGGGGAAGTTCTGGGGGCGGGGTTTGCATGACACGCTGCGAGGTACTAGCCCGACAGTGGAAACGCGACATGATTTCTGCCTCACTGCTCAACCCTCCCTTGCGATTGGCCCGGCCCTGCCCTGCCCGATAAAAGCCCTGGCTTGCACATGCCCAACAGTGGAAATGCGGCTAATCTTTTCTTCATCTAATAAATGACTTGCGCCTCAGAGGGTGATCCTGAAACGCAGTGAACGCGCGGTGGCGTTTAAAGGTGTCAGACGCGAAGATGCTCTTAATTCTGGAGGTCATGAATAATATAATAACACTAATACTTAAACTGTAAGGTGTTTAAGAATGACCAAAACAAGAGTTCAGATGTTTTATAATGTACTGAGCCGGCTGGTTTGTCCATTAATACACATTTTTATCATCACATGATCTCTTATAACAAAATCACATGACCTTTTTAATGCACATACTGGAGTTTGTATCGTGTTTTCCATCGTGATTTTTGATCTTTTCTTATTGAATAAAACGTTTATCCAACTCAGTTATGTGCATACGTTTTTTTTTTGTTTTGTTTTTTTTTTTGCATCATGGTGTTTTCATAAACCGTTTTTTTTATGTGCATAAAAATAGGTGGATGGAAACATAACTATTGAAAGACAGGAATGAGTTTCTCTCTTGTTACTTGTTCTCGTGTCTTTTGTCATTATTTTATTTATTATTAGTCTCCCATTTTCTCTACCTTCTTAAGGTTCTTGCTTTTCTTGTTCTCCTACTGTTTGTAAAGTGTCCTTGAGCATCAGCGCTATATAAAATAAATAAAAACAACTAATAATAAAAAAAAAAACTTAAACTGAGCTGAAGATATTTGACCTACAGTATTCTCATAGAAGATATCTGCTTTAACGGTAATGGTGTTGGCTTAGTGCTCTCCATTTGCATATGTCACATTGATCCAAATTAACTTTTTTCATCAGTATATATTTTTAATTAATTTATCATTGTATTATTAAATGTATTAAATTATCATATTTTTTAAATGGGGCAAATTAAAATCTTTTCCATCTGGGCTATTTGAAAAATCCCTTAGCCTTTAGCCCTTTATGAGTCTAAAATTGTCATAATGGTCTTAAAAATGTCTTTAAAAGTCTTACATTTAACTTGGTGAAACCTGCAGAAACTCTGGTTTAAAGTATAAAAAAAAAAAAAAAAAATGGATGCCCCTGATATTAAATATGCTGAATGAAGTGGACAATAAAATAAATAATTATTATAAAACATTGTACAGTAATCTAAACTATATGATGTTGCTGCAGGGCGACGTGAGACTAAATGAACAAACTATTGTGGAACAATAACGTTAAACATTGCGCTGACTACAACTGGCCAACAAACTAGTCTAAAAATGACTTTTGCTGCTTAAGAAATGGATTACAGCATGCTGATAATATGCAGAGATTTGAGTGTAAAGTTCGTCAGTATTGACCATATTCTTCATTTACCAGCAGGTGCCGCCATTTGAATCTTTTTGCTCTTGACTTTTATTAAAGAATTAATTTTAGATCCTAAAAACAGTGTTGTGCTGCTGAGGCATGGGACGATAAACGTTTTCAAGGTATAACGCAGTTTGAAAAAAGCCGAGGTTTAAAACCACCAATATTTTCTTCTGTACCGTTCATCGCTACATGTAAGGTTTTTTTTTTACATTTTGTTTTAAGATTTTCAGGACAACAGTATCTCCAAAGATGCCATTTTAAATTGTAAAGAAATCTCTGTTTATGAAACAAATGAAGACAGCAGAAGTCAATGATTCAATTGAGTGATTCAGCCTGACATGTTTACTGCTCCAAAATACTTTAAAAGTTTCTCAAAAGAAAATGTTTTTTGTGTTCAAAGAGGAAAAAGTTTTTTTTTTTGTTTTTTTTTTTTACAGAGACATTTAAAAGAATATATTTTAGAGGAGTAATCACAGTACCATAAAACTGTGATATTTTTTATTCAAGGTTATCATACTGTCAGAATCTTATACTGACCCATGCCTAATGCTGCTTGATGTAGCAAAGTCATATTTTCTAATTTTATTGTTTTTCTTTGTATGTATAGTCATGAACACACTTGTTTGCAGAGCAAGAGAGCCTCTGAAAGAGATAAAAGATAAAGTGGTATTTCTCAATTAGCCTTACATATTCAGCCACCTAATTTTATGTGCATTTTGGGTAGGCTATAAGCATAAAAAATTGGTTGATGGAAACGTCATGATGCACATAACTTTTGAAATATAAGCATAAAGAAACATGCGCATAACTGAGTAGGACAAACTTTTTATTCGATAAGAGAAGATAAACTCTCGTAAACCTTGCAAGCACTTTTACTGAACAAATTCCAGTATGTGTGTTTAAAAAGGTTTGGTATAAGAGATCATATGATGATGAAAATGTGTGTGAATGCACAAACCAGCAGGCTGAGAACATTATAAACATCTGAAATGTTGTTTTGGTCATTCTAAAACACCTGAACCGTTTCAGTATTCATGTTATTATATTATTAATGACCTCCAGAGCGTCTAGAGCATGTCGAGAGTGTCTGTTCTCTGCGTCTCATTGCTTCAAACGCCAACACGTGTTCATTGTGTGCCAGCATTGACCTCTGAGCTGTCATTTAAAGAAAAGATTCATGTAGCTTCTTCTACTGCAGGAAATTCTGTTTTTACTGTTCATATTTGGGGCCTGTTAATCAGGAAGTGATGATTTTGTTCTCTTTGATTCATTGGATGGAAACGCAGCTTTATTCGCACATTTTTTATGTGACATCCCAGTTTTGCGCATAAATTCAATTCACATTTTTAGATGAAATCATAGCTATTGCCTACATTTCAGTAACACAAAGAACAAAGTCACATAGCAGAATGGCTTGTCCTTTCTTAATGAATAATTTGCTTAAATTCACTAACCTTCGACGGACATGTACTGTAACTAGATTAATGGGATTATTACTAGTTCTAAAAAGATTTTTTAGTCCTGCTTACATTCTAAATGTCATATCAACCTCTACCACTTGATAGGGCTGTGCAATTAATCGAAAATCTGGTTTCAATTTCGATTTTGGCTTCTAATGATTATGAAAATCCATTAATCGAGATAAACGATTATTCCATCATATACCGCTCCCTTTCCAGTTGTACACACTTGTTGCTCTGCAAAGCTCAGTTCCACATGAAAATGACTAAAAGCATGTGCTGTAATGTAACTTTTGCAGCACGGGACGCGCATCATTCCTATTTTTAAAAGTGCGTAAGTGCACATGCTCTGTGTGTGCGCCGCGCTTAGCCTTGGACAGGCTCGGAGACAAGCAGAAAACATACATCTAATGCCATCTTAATGTGAGCGCTTTAATGATCAAGTACATGCAAATTTGTGTAGTGTTTAGTGATTAGTCATATTAACCCTTGTTAGTATAATATACAAACAAGTTGAGAATCAAAAGACACTTGAAAGAGAAACCATATCAGAGCCGCACTATTCTTAAAGTGACAGCGCACAATATTCCTGCTGCCGACTGTTTTTAGCATTAATCAAACAACAAAAGAAGAGAAAACCCCTTACTGCTCTTGACTGAAAGACTTTTGTAGCTCAAATGTTTTTCTCAAACCGAAAACTCTGAGTATTTAATCTCTCGGTAAATCAACTCAGAGTTCAAGTTTAAACTCATAGTTGGTTGAACCTCCTTACTGAAACAGGCCCCAGGTCATCATGACGTGATTGACAATTGTCACTGTTTGTCATTGTACTCTGTTTATCCTGAGAGCTGATGCGGAGTATTCTTAGGGCTTTTCACACTTCAATTAACCCTGGGTCATTCTATACCTGGATAAATTCTGGGTTATCTGTAGTCACCTTCCACACTGCTCATGCTATACCTGGGGTTAAAAAATAATCCTGGGTGTTCATTAACAGACAGTTCACATTTGTAAACCCTGGGTTATCATTATTATTTGTATAATTACGTTGTCACTGTCCCTGATTGGACAAACCACAAGTAACCTTTTTAGATGGCATTTCTGCATCTTGTCAGGTATATACAATGTCAACAAGTAGGTCTTCAGCCAAGCCTCAGGGCATACACAAAGACAAGAAAACAAAGACAAAAGTGCAAATAAATGAAAACAAGTAACAAAGCATGTCATCTTGCCGTATCCTCATCACTCCTGTTTAAAGCAAATGTGGCATTAAGAATTTGCATAAGTTTTATACAATAATGCAAACTTGCAAATATAAGCGTGAATTATGCATACTTGCTATGGACATGCAGGATTTGTCTCAATTGAGGAAAAAACATGAGTAATCTAGAGCGAGTGCATTTGGTTATGTGCATTTAAAGCCACAGGCACAAAAAGAGCTTGGTTTTCCTCTGACCCCCAAAATTAAATATTCTACAAGGTATACGATCTGATTTTGAGCTGAAACCTCAGACACTTTCAGGGAACACCAAAGACTTATTTTACATCTTGTAAAAAATGGGTAATTGTAGGAACCTTTTAAAGGGATAGTTGATGCAGAAATGAAAATAGCCTCACCATTTATTCTTCCTCGTGTGGTTTTAAACCTTTTTGAGTTTCTTGATCATGTTAAACACAAAAGAAAATATATATATAAAAAAAAAACGCTACTGGCTTACTGTGTTCCACAATAAAGGAAAGTTTAAAACAACATTATGGAGAGTAAATGGTAAGGTCATTTTAATATTTGGGTGAAAACATCCATTTCTTGCTTGTCGCTTTGAGCCTTTATACTAAAGCAAATTTTTATTTTATTTTTTTTTTTAGATCTGATGGTGCTGAAAGAAGAGACTCATGGACAGAATGAAATGGATGAGAAACAGCAGTTTGAGAAACCCCAAGAAATAATGATTGATGAAAAACCCACACTGACTAAAAAGACTTCATCACACAGAAGACTTCGGAAATCCAAATTTGGGTGTAATTTCAGCTGCAAACAGTGTAGAAAGAGTTTCAGTCAAAAGTCAAACCTTGATGTTCACATGAGAGTTCACACTAGGGAGCAACCTTTCACCTGCGAACAGTGTGGAAAGAGTTTTGGTCAAATACAAGGCTTTAAAGCCCACATGAGAACTCACACTGGAGAGAGGAAGTTCACATGCCAAAAGTGTGGAAAAAGCTTTTATCATGCTGGAAACTTTGCAGCACACATGAGAATTCACACTGGGGAGAAGCCTTTCAGCTGTAAACAGTGTGGAAAGAGTTTCTGTCAAAAGCCAAACCTTGATGTTCACATGAGGGTTCACACAGGGGAGAAACCTTACACCTGCAAACAGTGTGGAAAGAGTTTTAGTCAAATACAAAACTTTAAAATCCACATGAGAATTCACACTGGAGAGAGGCCGTACACATGCCAAAAGTGTGGGAAAAGCTTTTATCATGCTGGACACTTTGCAGAACACATGAGAACTCATACTGGAGAGAAGTCTTTCAGCTGTAAACAGTGTGGAAAGAGTTTCAGTAAAAAGCTGACCCTGATTGCTCACATGAGAGCTCACACTAGGGAGAAACCTTACACCTGCGAACAGTGTGGAAAGAGTTTAGGTAAAAAACAAGACCTTTACATCCACATGAGGATTCACACTGGAGAGAAACCTTACACATGCACAGAGTGTGGTAGAAGTTTTCCACATAAAAGCACACTCAAACACCACATGAGGATTCACACTGGAGAGAAACCTTACACATGCACAGAGTGTGGTAAAAGTTTTGCACTTAAAAGCACACTCAAACACCACATGAGAACTCACACTGGAGAGAAGCCGTTTACATGTGCTCAGTGTGGAAAGAGTTTCACAACCAAAACTAGCCTCAAGAACCACATGAATGGTCACACTGGAACCATATTGTTTACATGTGATCAATGTGGAAAGAGTCTCACACGCAAAGACTCCATTAAGCAACACATGGAGACTCACTCAGAAAAGGATCGTTTTAAATGCAGTGAGTGTGGAAAGGGCTTTAAGTGTAAAAGAAGCCTCAGCGCTCACCTAAAGCTTCACAATGGGGAGTAGAGTCCTCAACATTGAGGCCTTGTCCACACAAACACAGGTATATTCAAAACGGCAGCTTTTCACGTAGTTTGGCTGTTCATTCAAGTGAAGTTTATTTATAAACTACTTGCAAGAGGATCACATGCTTATGATTGTCCTCTTAACTCAGTTATCTTCGTCTTGAAGAATCCCCCTCCCACCCTTACTCCCCCTCCTTTCTAGATTGAGCAACACGGCAGCCAATGATTAGCCAGTGGTTAGCACTGTTGCCTCACAGTAAGAATGTTAGAGTTTGCTCATTCTCCCTGTGCTCGCGTGGGTTTCCCCTGGGTTCCCTGGTTTTCTCCCACAGTCCAAAAATACACAACCTAAGTAAACTGGACATTAAATTGGCACCATAGTCGAGCTCTTAGTAAGCCTTATATCTCCCTTTAGCCGACCCTATATCTGTCATTAGAATAGAAAGAAGTCTGAGGAGTTCATCAAGATCTACCTGAGCTCACACTCCACTCTCGTCCTGCTAACGGGAGGGAGCTTAGGGCTCGAGGATCTTTTGAGCTTAGGTCTCTTCCGGGATAGCATGCCAAACAAGTGTGAACTCTTGAATACATATTAAGTTACTGATAATGAAACCCTTTGAACACCTGAAAATTTAACCTCAACTGAAGAGGGCTGAAGATTTTGCCAGCTGTTTTGTAGTGTAGATCAGGGGTCACAGCCCAGTACCAGGTTGTGAGAGTTGCTATCGGGCTGCAAGAAGGCACAATAATTCTGTATGTTGATCGATTGTATTGGCTTGTTTCATATGCAACCAAATGACCTACAGGAACTCAAGAGATGTGACCCAACCAAAGCAGTTGGGTAATCTCCAGGGGGGTTTCATGCTTTGTTATAAATTAGTGTCTCACAGACTGTACTTTGGTTTAAGTTACTTGAAGATAGACAAGTTAACATCACTGCTGATGAACTGTCCAATTAATTGTCTTTAATAAAGTCTTCTCCTCATAAGAACTTTGGTCAGCTTACTTATTTTATGTATTAGAGTTATCTATACATTGGTGAGCCACCCAAGAAGGGTTAAGCCAAATACAGCAAAATCTGACAATGTGCTTCAACTTATTATGAACTGATCACCATATTTGAGCAGGGTTCCACACAATACTTTCATGTTGTCACAACACAAATTAAGTTAACTTAACACTTTTAACAAATTTATGTGGATTAAATATTAAGGCCCAATCCCAATTCTATTTTTGTACCCCTACCCCTTCCCCTTGGCCCTTACAACTGAGGGTTAAGTTGAAGGGCTTCAAATTTTACCCCTAAGAATTGGGACAGCACTACAGTACCTGCACACGTCATCATATGTCCTCGCTATTTTTTGCTTCATATGAGATCAGACGATCGCGACTGCTGTACTTATTTCAGTTGTTATTTTTGGGTATTTATCTTCAGGAAATCACTAAAGGTTTATGTTATCATAATGATCTAATGTGGCAATAAGATCGTAACAGTACTGTGCATTTAACACAGTGGCCATACTCATCAATGTAAACACACAACAACAGCATTAACATTATAGCAGACACTGTAAAAAGCTCATTGACAGCCAGTAGACTTTTCTGACAGGGTATTCCAGTGTCACCGAGTGTCAGAAATTTGTGGGACTGCTGTACAGGAGTTATGATTAGGGATTAGAGCCGCACAATTAATGGTAAAAAGATTGCGATCTCGATTCGACCACCTTGACTATCTTCCAGCATTTCAACGATTCTGTCAATCATATTTTCAAGTTAAGGAGAGAAGAAAAGGCGGCTGCACGAGTCTTTTCATTGTTTCACATAATGTTGCTCAGTGACATGGACACCTCCAAATGATGTTAAAAGTGTCACATACTGTATTTATAAGTTATAATTCACCTGCAAATGTCATTTTTGTTTTCATATAATGATGTTTTCGCAGCTGGGAAACTAACGTGATGTGAGCTGCTGACCGTGAGAGCACGCTCAACTTAATAATTGACACGCACGCGCCTACTTTAGTGAACAGAACTTGCAGATGTCGTAAGTAACAGGTATTACAGTTTTAAATAATATTCAGTTTGTGGCACAGAGTGATCGTTTGGGAGCTGCGCGCGAAGTATGAAGCACTTAGCACTTAAAACCGCAAGTGTGCACTTCATTTAAATGATCATATCTCATTTTAGAGTTATGATTACGACAAGCATTTGATTTTTTATTTTTTTTATAGCGAACAGAGTTGTGCATGAAAATAAATGTTTACAGTGTCAGTATAACTACTCTAGCCTTTATATTGTTGAATATAATCTGATAATGACAAATGTCTGATTTTACTAGTGAATAAAACTGTCTAATAATGTTGTCAATGACGGATTGCAAGCATAATCAAATCAAATAGAAATACAAGTTCCTCTTAGCAAATCAGAAATCAAGACAATAATTAAAGAAGGTGTTAATAGATTATGGCAAGAGAAATGGGATAAAGATGAGAAAGGCAGATAGAGTTACAGTTTTCCAGCTTTATTCAATATATCCTCTTTATTGTTGAGCAGAAAAAAAGAGCTAAATATGTTTGGAACAAGTAAATGTTGAGGCTAAATGACAGAATTGTTAGTTTGGGTGATCTATTCCCATCTATCACCAAGTTAAAGTATATAAATTGATGTTAAAATGCCTAGTTAATATTGATATTAATAAAAAGATCTGCTATCTACTATTTTCACATTGAGGTAATCTTGTATTGATAATTTCTGGATTTTAATTATGTGTAAGTTGCATAAACTCTATTATTTAGCCACTCACTGTTGTTTTCAAATTACTCATGTAACTTTTCTTTCAGAATGTTTATGGTTGGTAAAGTCACCTCATATCACAGTGTTGCAGTAATTCCTGATCTATGGAAAGAAGAATTAGATCAGGTAAGGAGAATTCTACTCTATTTACTATTATATTAAATGCAGTTATGTTATTCAGAACACAGTATGTCCATAGTGTGGAAAATAGATCATGTTTATGAAAAATTACTTTATTATTTTGTACAGCTGTTATTGAAATGACACTAAGTGTAAAATTCCATTTTAAAGCGAGTAATGCCACAACAACAGGACCTCTTCTTCTTTCTCTTCTCATAATTTAAGTAAGTATTCAGAGACTAACTCTGACTTCTGTTAACTCAAACATGCTTTCCGTCTCACTAAATTCATTTAATTGTATGTAATTTTAGTATATGATAGATTATTAAAGAATTAAAATAAAGTAGGCTACATAATTACTCACTGTAGATTTTATGCCTGAAGCTTCAATAAGTCATTCCCTGTGTAGTCCTGTTGTGTCAAGCTCTGATATATATATATATATATATATATATATATATATATATATATATATATATATATATATATATATGTGTGTGTGTGTGTGTGTGTGTGTGTGTGTGTGTGTGTGTGTGTAATAAAATCTATACTTTGTTTTATACTGTTTGCTTATAATATTAGATGTGCACTGTATGTATTAAATGTTATGAAATATATAATAAAAAGTTTGATAATTTTTTTACTTTTTAACAACTGCAAGTTTACACATGCAGTTGTTAAATTAAAAAGGAAAAATAAATGAACAATGTTTAATATTAATAGAATTACTGCTGTATCCTGTATTCTAGGCAGTATTGATAAACTGCCACAAAAAATTATTAAAGCAAGTAGTAAGAATTCCGTCTCACAGTTGCTGAATGTCACACGATAACGTATGTTCACATTTTATGAAAATTAACAAATTATTTATAACCTCAGCAAAACATCTTGTATGATGTCTTAATTAACCAATAAGGGCCAGTTAATAATGTTTGAAAGTTTGACTAAATATTTTAAATCTTGGATTTTTATTTAAAAACTAATGTGCAACGATTGCATATTTTATCTGGAAATTAATGTTTTGTCCAATATTTCATTATTACGAATATTTTTTTTAAATAATCTATAAAGTTGGGTTTGTAAAGGGACACATTACCTTTCTGAAAATATACATTTATTAATCACACTGAAATGAAGATATACTTTGAATTTGTCCTTGACAGTGTTGACACAATTTGAGGTTTGTTTGCTGTTTTTGTTAGTAGATTATTTGTAAAAAGTGCAGGAGCTTGACCAACATTCATTTCTTACAGTCTAATGTCTAAATAATACAACTATGTGGTTAAATTAAAAAATCTTAAACTTTTTTTTTTTTTTCATTTTGATGTCTCAAAGGCACTTTTTTGAAGTTGTTTTAAAATGTTTAGATTAAAGGTTTTGATCAACTTCAAATACTGAACTTCTGTGTGATTGTGTGTGTGTGTGTGTAAGGGAGAGAGAGAGAAATGTTTGAACAAGTCATGACTGCAAACTAAATACAAAAGACTTTTATTTTGGCGTGGCGTGTGACGTCATTAGGCTGCGCCGCTCTTGCGCTTGATTCAGTTGGAGAAAGGTTTGTTTTTAAAACCTTTACATAAATATAAAGCGATTGAATAAAGTTTCAGGGTTTTCATCCGATGCTAAATTAGGAACCTGCTGTTGACATTATTTTGACCCTTTTTACAACGAAGTACAATTTACTCACAGTAATTAGGGCTATTGTTTGAATAAAGCAACAGAAATGTGAGTAATAGGTGTTTTAATTAAGGTTTAATTTATTAAAAAGCATAATGTCATTCCATTCTAAGGGTACATCACTATATACAAGAAATGGAGTACTAGTTTTAATCAACTCATTGTGTCTTGCTCAGACTTACCTGATTTATTTTTTGTTAACTCTCATATGCAACTGTTAAAGCAAGTATTGAAGAGAAGTTGTTTTGATTCTGTTCATTGTTTTATTTATTTTAAACAGAACATTTTTATTGTTTTGTTCATTTTAAACAGGATAAAGTGTCCAAACGCAGAGAAAAACTCCTGCTGAAGCGACTGATCTCCACACTGTTATAAAGATGGCATTTATTAAAGAGGAGAGTGAAGATGTGAAGATTGAAGAGACATTCACAGTCAAACAGGAAGATCTGCAGGAACAAACAGGTTGGTTTACATTTTTAAAGACCAACTCAGTCATTTGATCCTCATTCAGATATATTTTAATAATAAGAATACTAAATTAAATCCATCTTGCTGCCCTGTGTGTTGCCTAGTTCTCCTAAATGCATATAAGCACTCATTGAAAGACAGAATGAGTTTCATCACTTGTTCTTATTTATGTCATACTTGTTATGTATTATTCGTCTCCTATTTTCACTACCTTCTTAAGGTTATTGCTTTTCTTGTTCTCTTTGTTTGTAAAGCGTCCTTGAGCACTGGCACTATATAAAATAAATAAAAACAAAAAATTAAAAAGGTTTAACTGAGCTGACAATATTTGACCTAAAGTATTCTCATAGAAGATATCTGCTATTACAGTGGTAGTGTTGGCTTAGTACTTTCCATTTGCATGTGTCACGTTGATCACAATTCCCTTTTTTATCAACTTCTTTATGGGTTTAAACTTGTTTTTTGTAGTTGTTACTAGTTCTCACAGATATTATCTTAGTTTGACCTACATTATTATAATAAGTAATTACCAGGGCTATTGTGTTTAAACAGGGTTTCCGCTGGGTATTAAAATGTCTTAAATTCCAAAATCAAAAATTCAGGCCTTAAAAAAACTTAAATTTACTAAAATATTGTGCTGTACATCTTAAATCTTTTTAAACAAGTCTTCATTTTCCTTTGTTCATGTTTTGTTACCCAATCTGGCCAAAACCCATACAATCACCAACAAGACATTTTAACTCTGTTTATCATAATGATAAGGACTGCTGAGGATATCGACCTGGACAGATTGTTGTGCATGGATTTAGTTTAATATAGTGTTTAAAACATTTGTTAATTTGTTTTTTTTTTTATTTTAAAGAAAGTGTATTTTGGGGAAAAAAGTGTGTGGATCCAAGTGGAGCTCTCTTGTTTTTACACAATATTTATGATCTTTTGCTAAGAAATATAAAAAATATTTTAATGTTGTTATTATTATTATTGATTTATTATTGTATTATTAAATATTTTATATTAAAATATTTTTTGTTTGGA